TGTCACTTGTCCTGCGTACCCATGTCCCCGTGCCATAACCCCCACCATGTCCCTGTCCCCCATGTGCTCATGTCCCTGTGCCACATAGCTGTCCCTGTGCACCCCATCCTGATGTCCCCATGTACCCATTTGCCTCTCATGTGCCCATGTCCTCACGTACCCATGTCCCCTACTCCCTTGCCCTGTCCCCATCCCATGTGCCCATGTCCCCATATGCCCTTGTTCCATCCCTGTTCCTTGTGAGCCCATGTCACTGTATCCCCATGTCCATCTGCCCATGTCCCCACATGTGCCCCCTGTCCCATGTGCCTGTGTCCCCACGTGCCCATTTGCCTGTCCTCTGTGTGCCCATGTCCCCATGTGCTTGTGTTCCCCCGTGCTCATGTCCCCAAGTCGCTTGCTCCATCCCTATCCCCTGTGAGCCCATGGCCTGTCCCCCATCTCCCATGTCCCTGTGCCCATGTCCCTGCCTGTCCATGTCCACATGCCCCCTCCCCATCACTGTGCCCACATGCCCATGTCCCTGTCCCCTCTGTTCTCCATATTCCCATGCCCCTGTCCCCAGATGCCAATGTCCCTGTCCCTCCACCCCCTTGCCCCATCCCCTGTGTGCCCACATCCCCACTTCCACGTCCCATGACCCCATCTCCCTACCTCCCGTGTCCCCATGCCTATACCCCATGAGCCCGTGTCCCCACGTCCTTGTGCCCCCCATCCCCAGGTCGCTGGGCCCCATGCCTGTTGCGCTGGGTGCCGAAGAGGGCGAGGATGGCGGGGCGCCCATGCAGGTGCCGGGGGGGTGTCACAGCCTCCAGCACATCAAAGTAGAAGACAGCATCACCCGGCACTGAGCAGTTGAGCCGGGCCTTGAGGAAGGAGGTCCAGCGGCGCTCGAGCACCCGCGGCGAGCCCCCGCGGTCGTTGCGGCATACCCGGGCCACGCGCGCCACCGCCACCTGCACTGCCACCATTGTCACCTGTGGCTGCTGGTGCCCATGGGCATTGGCACCCAGGATGACACCCATGGACACTGGCACCCAAGGCTAGCACCCACAGGCATCAGCATCCGGGCCCAGCATCCATGGGCAGCCTCAGACACTGGCACCTAGACCAGTCCCCACAGACACCCAAAGGTATTGGCACTCAGGCTGGCACCCGTGGACATCCATGGGCACTGGAAACTTGTCTGGCACCCACAGGCATCAGCACCCTGGGGCTAGCACCTACAGGACACCTACAGGTATTGACACCCAGAGTGGCACCTGCAGGCATCAGCACCCATGGACACCCTTGGCCATTGGCATCTGGAGCTGACACCCACAGGCACCTTTGGATGTCGACACACAGAGCCAGCACCTGGCCAGATGCCACAGGGATGGGCACTGGGGCACCCCTCCCCTGATGTCAGGGGAATAGGCACCAGGCTGCCGCAGGCATTGTCCTGGCCCCATGTCCCCCGTGTTCCCCTGTGTCCCCCATGTCCCCCATGCCCACCTTGCCCATGGCGCTGAGCTCCACGGCGATCTCCCGGAAGAAGAAGTAGACATAGGGGCCATAGGGCAGGGCCTGCACGAAGTGGGGCTCTGGGGGACAGTGAGCTGTGAGCCCCCCGCAGCAGGCCTGCCCGGGGGGGACCCAGGGATCTGAGGCTGGCTCTGCTCCCTCCAGCCCCTGTGCCCCACAGCCAGCAGGACTCTGTGCTCCATGTCCCCATCTCCTGCAGCCTCTGGTGTCCTGTTCCCTTGTCCCCCTATATCACCCTATACCTCCATGCCCTGTCCCCCTGTCCCCCATATCCCCCCTACTCCTATACCCCCATAACCCATCCCCTTGTACCCATGTATCACACTGTATCCCCATACTGTCCCCTTGTCTCTCTGTACACCCCC